AGTCTGTGCACCACTGTGAAAGCACTTCATATGTTCTCTTTCTACGTAATGCCAGCTGATTTTTTTTTAACACACATCTTAGTATATATTCCATCTCTTTATTTACACTTTGAATACTTTTAGCTGTTCTGGTAATTATGTCTACATTTTTATATAAATGTTTATGTTGCTATTTCTTGGTTCTTAAAAATTTGGCATTATCTGTTGGCATCCATCTGTAGAATTCTTTTGCAACTAATTCCATTGATATGGAAGTAATGTGCTCAATTTCTGTTCCTAATTTTGATCTCTTCTGCCTCATTCATTTTCTTACTTATTGTTGATTAATAATTTAGCTGTGTGTCATTTTTCCCCTAAAACTAGACATTATTACTGTTTTTTTCTATTTACCCATATGATTACCAATTTATGTGTTCCCAGTTCTTTTGCATTTTAGAATTTCTGTGATAATTTATTTTTCCTTAAGTATATGCTATGGAAGTATTTTCTCTATATATTCCTATTTGCGTCGCTTCTATTATTGTCTTCAAGTTCACTAATCTTTTCTTTGGCTTGTCTAATCTTGTCATTAATTCCGTTCTGTGTGTTTTCAACTCAAAAGTTGTGGTTTTCATTCCCTTGAAGTTTAATTTGGGTCATTTTTTTTGTCTCCTGTGTGTCTATTTAACTTTTTGGTGGAATTAAATATAGTTTTAATAACTGTTTTGATGGCCATCTGCTTCATTTCTGGGTCAATTTTGATTGATTTTTCTCATTGTGGGTCATTTTTATGCTTTATGGTATACCTGGTGGTCTTGGTTTAGATGCCAAACACTGTAAATTTTACCATGGTGGGTGATGGGCATTTTTGTATTTCTGTAAATCTTTTTGAGCTTTTTTCTGGAATGCAGTTAAGTTAGTTCAAAACAGTTTTTTCGTTTTGGGTCTTTTATGATTTGTGACTGGAGTCTAGAGCAACTTAGTTGAGTTTTCACTATTCTCTGCTTCCAAGGTAAGAGCTTTCTAAGTAGTCTATCAAATGTCACATGAGTTATGAGCCTAGTTTTGTAGTGTGACTGGAGGGAAATGACACTGTGTTCCCAGGTTTTATTTTGGAGGAGGGGGTGCCTTTTGAGAATGGGATTGTATTCTTGATTTGATTCTCAGGTCGAACGCTGTCAGTGTAAAGGAATGTTACTGATTTTAAGCATGATTTTGTATCCTGAGACTTGACTGAAGTTGCTTATCAGGCCTAGGAGTCTTTTGGTGGAATCTTTAGGGTTTTCTAGATATAGAATCATATCATCTATGAAGAGATAATTTTACTTCCTTTTTGGATTCCTTTAGTTTACTTCTGTTGCCCGGTTGCCATATGTTAAATAGGAGTGGTGAGAGTGTATTTTAAATAGTTCCAGGATTATTCTGATTTTAATTCTTTTTTTGAGATTTTCATTTCTCTTTTTTCTATTTTTATTTTAGATTCAGGAGATACATGTGCATGTTCGCGACACAGGCACGTTGTATAGGGTGGGGATTAGGTGTCAGGTGGCCCATTCTCTGGAGAGTGGCCATCACGCTCCATAGGGGGCTTTGGAACCCCAACCCTCCTCCCCGCCTCTCCCCTTGTTGGGGTCCCAGAGTCTCTTGCTGTTATCTTTGTGATAATTTGGCTCCTGCCTGTGAGTGAGAATGCGCGTCATTTGGTTTTCTTTTGTGTAATTGTCTAGAAGTGGAATTGCTGTCTCTTGAAATATCTCTCTTTTTTTAGTGATTTTTATTCTCATATCAATTTTGTTGACTTGTATTTTTCATAAAAATCGTACTTTTTATTTAGGTTTCCTCTTGGCATAAAATTGTTTGTAGTAGCTTTGTATTGTTTATACCTGTAGAATCTACAGGATAGCCCAGTTTTCATTTCTGGCATTAGGTGTGTATGTATGTGTGTCTGTTTTCTTGATCTGTTTTGCTTAGGAGGTTATCAGTTTCATTAATGTTTTCTTTTTTTTTTTTTTTTTTTTGAGTTGGAGTCTCCCTGTCACCCAGACTGGAGTGCAGTGGCCACTCCTGGCCACTGCAGCCTCGACCTGCTGAACTCCGGCGATCCTTTCGCCTCAGTAGCTGGAACTATAGGCGCATGCTACCACACCCGGCTAATTTTGATTTATTGTAGAGATGAGTTCTCGCCAAGTTGCCCAGGCAGATCTCAAACCCACGAGCTCAGGCAATCCACTTACCTCGACCTCCCAAAGTGCGGGATTACAGGCTGAGCCACCCAGCCCGGCCTCATTAATGTTTTCAAAGAACCAAGTTTGGGGGATTGATAATTTTTTTATTATGCACTTGTTTTCTGTTTCATCATTTTTGCTTTTTCTTTCTTCATTGTTTTGAGGATTTGATTTGCTGTCCACCCCTTTTCTGGTGTTTTTGAAATGAATTCTTATATATTGAATGTTCAGCTTTTCCCCATTTCTAAATAAGCTTTCTTAATCTGTAAGCTTTTCTCAAAGTCCTGCTTTAGCGGCATCTCACTACTTAAGATTATAGCTTCATTATTTTTAAAAATATTTGCTTCCTATTTGTTCCATTTTCTTTTTTTCTTTCTTTTGCCTTTTATTTTTTAATTCCATATTGAATATTTTATAAAGTCTTATTTCAGCAGGTACCATAGAAATTTTCACATTTATTGTTAACATATCAAAGTGTAAAATTATTTTTATCTTCTTTTTGGCTAGCACTAGGGCCTTGAAACACTTTCAAATTAAATCATTTTTGCCCAGCTAGTTTGCTATTGTTGTCATGTGTTTTAATCCTATCTTGTTTTATTTTTAAACTCTACAGAACATTTTTATCAATCTTTTATGTCGTGTCTATATAGGTATATTATTACTATGTAGTATTACTTTTTTGTTCTTTTCCCATTTTGAGTTTCAGTCAGGGATCACTGTCCTGCCACTGGAAGTACATCATTTGGAATTTCCTTTAGGTGGGGTCTTTTAATCACAAATATCAAGTTTTTGTTTGTCTGAAATATCCATTTTTATCTACATTTTTGAAAGATATTTTTGCTCTGAATGGAAATTTACACTGACACTTAATTTTCTAAGTTTAATAAAGCTATTTCATTTTGTGTTTCCTTCTATTATTGCTGTTGAGGAGTGTCTTAGTCCATTTTGCTTTGCTTTATAAAGGACAACTTATATTTATTTAGGGAAAAAAACCAGGCTGTACCAGAAGCATGGAGCCAGCATCTGTATCAGGGAAGGGCCTCAGACTGCTTCCACTCTGGCGGAACGCCAGGGGAGCCACAGTGTCACGTGGCAAGAGAGGGAGCAAGAGGGAGGGGGGCGAGGAGAGGGCAACCGGCTCTTTTTCGCAGCCAGTTCTCAAGGGAACTCCTAGGGCCGGAACTCACTCCTTCCTGGGAGGCACCAAATCATTCATGACCCACCGCCTCCTCGTGACCCAATACCTCCCACCAGGCCACACAGAAAATTTTTCTTGCAGTCTCCTAGTTGAGAATGGGGGTCCAGGACTGTTGTTTCTGGGTACTTGCCTACTGAGTGTGTGTTCTTTTGGAGTCTCAGCTCTGTAAAGGGGAAGCCAAATTCTGCCAGCATTTGCATTTCTCTGATTGATAATGAAATGGGACATCTTTTTGTGTGCTTTTGCTTATCTTAAAAGAACTGTCAATTCAAATTTCTTTTTGTCCATTTTTAAATTGGTCATTTGTCCTTTCATTGTTAAGTTGTGAGTACTCCTCATATATTCTATATACAAGTCTTTTACTAGGTATCTAAAAATTTGCAAAAATTTTTTCCCATTCTGTGAGTTTTCTTTTATCTTTCTTGGTTTGATGGCATCCGATTTGTTTTTTATTTTGTTGCTTGTGTTTTGGGTGTTATATCTAAGAATACATTGCCTAACCTAAGATCACGAGGATTTGTGCCTATCTTTTCATCTAATTTAATGTTTTTAATTAAAATTTTAATTATAAAGGTGCCAATAAATAAACTAATTTTAAGGGGTAAAATAATCACTCATGCCGGGCTTGGTGGTTCAGCCTGTAATCCTAGCACTTTGGAAGGCCGAGGCAAGCGGATTGCCTGATTCCACAAGTTTGAGACCAGCCCGGGCAACTTGGTGAGACAATAAATAAGAAATTAGCCGGGAGTGGTAGCTTGCACCTGTAGTTCCGCCTACCTGGAAGACTGAGGTGGAAGGATCGCTGGGGCCCAGCAGGTCGACGCTGGCGTGGCCATGCGTGTGCCACTACACTCTAGCCTGGGTGACAGAGTGAGACTCCAACTCAAAAAAAATGGTAAAACAAAACAAAACACTCACACTCCCATTAACCAAAGGGTTAGTTTTGCAATACTGTCATCTCCTTGTTCAGAATATGCACATTTTCATTACTGCTGTTATTTTTGAAGTACTGTGTTATATTCTGACACTTCTGTGTTTATGTGATACACAATTTTAATTTTTAAGGCTACATAATATAGTCAGTTCATTTTTCAATTGTTGTAATAGAACTTCTTTATAGTTTTGCTTTTCTTATAAAACTCCAGTTAAAATCAACAAGCACATAACTTCTTGCTTCTGTTGAATTGTTTTCTTAGTGTAATTTTCTAGGAGTAGAACTACAGGGTCAGAAGATGTAATCATCTTTACAGCTCTGTCTGAAGTCATGTTACTTCTAGAAATTATAACCACATTTCACTGTGCTTTTATTTAGTAAGCAGAGTTAATGGCATTGTAAGTTGAAGAATTTGCCTGAGGACAATGATGTCAGTAGTAATCCTCCACCAGTAAAACTCAGGGTGAAGTGATATGTGTATTTCTTCATTTAAAAAAAAATGATACTTTTGAATGAGTACTTTGTACTGATATTGAAAAATTAGAGCAGTCAGTTGCCTTGTTGACTGAAGGTAAATATAACATACTTAAAAATTTAGCGTATTTTATGGTATTGTATACTCTACTTTAAATAGCAGTAGTATAATTTATTGAATTTTCTCTAGGATCCGGGAGCAGGAACGAAAAGAAGCTGAAGAAGCTAGTCAAAAAGAAATAGAAGAATGGGAAAGAAAACTTCTAGCACAAGCAGCTCCAACTTGCATGGAGACCCTGTGGGAAATTCCTGCTATCGGACACTTCCTTTGTTTAGCCCAACAAATTCTCAATTTGCCAGAAATAGTCTTTTACGAACTGGAGCGTTGTCTTCTGATGCCTCAGTGTAATGCTTTTCTGTCGAAAATAATGACGTCTCTATTAAGCCCTCCCCACCGCAGACACACCTTGCATCGACGGCCTGCTCTGCCTTACAGGACCTGGGAAGCAGCACTGAGGCGGAAGGTGCAGCAGTGGTACGCTGCTGTAGGACAGACCGAAAACCCTGACAACTGTGCCGAGAAGCTCGGACTGTGCCCTCAGTTTTTTAAAGTTCTGGGAGAAGTCAGTCCATTGGAAGAAAAACCTTTTCACGAACTACCTTTTTACCAAAAAGTGTGGCTGCTTAAGGGTCTCTGTGACTTTGTGTATGAAACACAAAAGGAGGTTCAAGATGCTGTACTTGGACAGCCCATCCATGAATGCAGGGAAGTCATCCTTGGCTACGATTATTTGGAGAATGCTTACGTACACTTTCCACAGTTCTGTGGTGCCGATGTACGAATTTATAAACAGAGACCCTTTCAGGCCCCAGAGTTTCCAATTCCACCCATTAAAATACAAAGAGTACCTCGGATTAAACTGGAGAAGCTGAAGTGTAACTACATGAGTACAAGTAATGGAGAACACAGATGTGGTCAAGAAGGCCTGTCCTCTGCCTTCAAGAAAGAACAGGAAATCAGTTTTGATACAGCTTGCTGCCCTGCTGAAAGGTGTTTGGATAATCATGATATCTCTGTTGAAATGGAAGTAAAATCCAGCTATGAGATTAGAATTCGCAGGCCCTTTGAAATGAAAAAAACTGGCTATTGTAAAGAAAATTTAGAGAAACCAGGGAGTCCAGGGGAAGTTACTGGCTTTGGAGAGCCTCTCAGTCCAGGTGAAGTAAGATTTATAGAAAAGCAGGAAAAATATGATGAAGCTTCGAGGATAAAGACTGAACCCAATCCATTAAAAGAAAATACTCTAAAATCTTGCCAGATACATGTAAATGGAAGTCACAGTGATCATCCAGAAATTAACTGCCACAAAGTTGTAAGGGACATTCTATTAGAGCAGTCACTACAGAGCCACAAGAAACTCAAACTAACTAAAATGAGGGCAAAAAAGAAGAAAAAGAAAAAAAAGAAATTGAAAGATGTTTTGAATGAAAATATACAGAGAAAGCGTGAAAGTCTTCAGTCTCTTGCATTCAAATCTTACAAACCTGAGATCCAGAATAAGCTATTGATCATCAAAAAGAAAGCAAAGCACAAGAAGCACAAATCTGGTAAGCTAACACAAATAAGTGATAATTACCTCTGAGTATAACTCAAATTGTTCTTTCAATGATATATCATGGACACTGTGATTGACAGAATGAAATGCACATGCATCTATGTGTGTGTTTAAGGGTCGAGTTTTATTTTACATCTCATGATTTACAAACCCAAAGCGGAAGAGATTTATTTTATTTATTAGCAAAAAAATACTGGTGCAGTATATTTAAATTCAATTCTCAGTTGAGCATGTTTGGACATTATATTTTTACCTTTCTCTGGACCAATTTCTCCATAATTCCCATCACCTGGACGTGTTTTTTTCCCAGGCTAGAGGCAGTACAGGGTAGTAGAACAAGCACTGATATCATTCCCAGGACTAAAGTTCATAGCAGGTATTCTTAAAACCAAGGCTGGTCAGATTATCTTCCTGGGTTTATTTTTTTCCCACTTCATATATTTTTCCAGCACTCTGTTTTCAGTATACATTTTTGTATTGACAAAAGACGTGAAATATAAGAAAGAACTTATATCGACCGATAAGACATTAAACATATTTCTGTAAGAAAGGACTTTTAAGCTTGTCTTTCACCAAATTTAAATACCCTATATGTTTATCTCCAACTTGTTTAAACAACCAAAAAATCCTATACAGTGTTCAGTGGTTGTTTGCTCTATTTTTTAATTGCTCAGGCGCTTTGGCTTTTCTTGTCTTTTAATCAGTTTATGTCTCATTTATCAAGAGGATATGGTAAACAAAAGCAGATGATGATCAGCTTCATTAACTCTAATAAGAAATGGCTTGACTGGGAAAAAAATCAGAATTGTCTACCAAGATGAGCTGTGGTTTATCATCATTTTTTATGGATTTCAACTTTTTCTCCTCTCAGTAGATTTGGCAAAAATTTGCCTAGTTCGCAAATGAAGAAGTGAAATTTTGTTTAGGTAATATGGTTGGTATTCTACTTTAGTTATTTAAATCATTAAATACAGTTAAATGTGTTTTAAGCTGGGCTCGGTGGCTCAGCCTGTAATCCCGCACCTTTGGGAGGCTGAGGTAAGTGGATTGCCTGAGCCTGCGGGCTCGAGACCCGCCTGGGCAGGCGAGACCTCATCTCTACGATCAATCAAAAATCAGCTGGTCATGGTAGCGCGTGCCTGTAGTTCCAGTTACTTGGAAGGCTGAGGCAGAAGGATCGCTGGAGCCCAGCAGGTCGAGGATGCGGTGGCCAGGAGTGGCCACTGCACTCCAGTCTGGGCGACAGAGAGACTCCAACTCAAAAAAAAAAAAATGTGTTTTAAATCATGTATATAATGTATCATTGATAAAGAAGATAGATTAAAATTTACTACTCAAAACAAGCTTAATTTGTTGGCTGAAAGTTTCAAAGTGGTCACTCAGGCGATGAAAAGTTACAACTTTTTAAAAGTAACTTTCAGAAATAAGCCTTTAAAATTTTACCAGCAATCCATTAGTTTTTCTTGTATTTAGTTTTATGAATTTGGCAAATTCACATTGAAATGTCAGTCTTTAAAAATATTAAATAAGCCAGGCTCGGTGGCTCAGCCTGGAATCCTGCGCCTTTGGGAGGCTGAGGTGAGTGGATTCGCCTGAGCCCGCGGGTTCGAGACCCGCCTGGGCAGCGAGACCTCATCTCTACAATAAATCAAAAAATCAGCCGGACGTGGTGGCACATGCCTGTAATTTCAGCTACTTGGAAGGCGGAGGTGGAAGGATCGCCGGAGCCCAGCAGGTCGAGGCTGCGGTGGCCAGGAGCGGCCACTGCACTCCAGTCTGGGCGACAGAGTGAGACTCCAACTCAAAAAAATAAATAAATAAATAATAAAAATATTAAATAATTTTTTAAAATTAGAAATAGCTTCAGTTCTACAGTACGTGGTACTTTATTAATACCATTGTAACCTAAAACCTTTTATTGTTTATTCATGTCACTACTATTTTTGTATTCAAAGGCAATGATGACTTATGGTGGTTTATAAAATAAAATAGACACTGATGTAGCTTCTAAACAGATTATCCAAGTAGCACAATAAAAACAGTACTAAATAATAGATTAAAATGAATGTATATTGTAAGCAAATAAAGTATTACTGCATTTTTAAAATCAAAACTATGTTTGGAGATCAGAGAGAAAGTCTGGAGGTAGACAAGTGAGTGAAAATATTCAGAAGACAAATTCATCAAGTATTTGTGTGCCCTCAAAGCTCGTGCAGTTGTGAGGAGAAGTCTTATATGCACAAAATAGAAGAAAATCATACACTTGTTTGTATACTTCCTCATTGTATTCTCAGAGCAAATTTTCAGTGACGAAAACGTTTGGGTCTGGCAGGTATACGTTCTCTCTCACTTGTTAGCACTGAGTAAGCGTAGATCAGTTCCCAGTTTTTTCATTGGACACTGGATTCTTTACTGACATGACAATGTTACATAAAATGTTATGGCAACAACCAAACGTTTGTTTTCTGCGCCTTTCAGCCTGCTTGTCTTTCTGGGACTTTGCCCTGTTCTCCTTGATTAAATGTGCAGCGCCATGACCTTATTTATGTAGTCAGTTTGGGACATACCCTAGTCAAGTGCTTTTTTGCTCAGTCTCTTTAAAAGTGAACTCCATGATCATAGGTGTGGGAAATGGAACTTTTATAGATTCACAATGTGCATTAGTGCATGTTCACCATACATTTTTCAAAACTCGTATAAAATTTGTTTAGAAGTTCAGGAATCTTGAGATTTTAGATGGGTATTATAGTGTATACAATACTTATCAAGTGACATCCCCAGTGGGGTTTGGGGCACCTCTGTCATCAAACACATAATTTCTACAGAAAAATGTATGAATAAACTAAATAAAATGAAGACTATAGAAAAACCTCATAACTGTTCAGGTCAGGTTTTGTTGCCATATAAATTATTTTTAAGACTCACTTTTAGAACCTTGTGGACTTCTGAATTGTGGATAAGTGATTCTGAGCCTGTATGTTAAAGACTTTGGAAAACCTTGAAGAAAACTGTTTAATTTCATTTAATGTAGTATTTTTTCAAGTTTATTTTAACACAGAGCTTTCCTTCAAGTAATAGTTACCAATAGCCTATGTATTCCATAGAATGCACTTTGGGATAAGCTATGTCATCCATGATTGATTTTCACTTCACTTAGTTTGTACTAAATTCTACATTTGTTTCATCTGGTCCATATGTCGATTACTATAGGCTTTAATTTTTGATGATATCTTCAAATTTAATAAGGCTTATTGGGATGGGAGATGATTTTTAATAGAATGCCCAAAGACAAATTGGTTGAAAATGATTTGATAATTTTAGCCCACTATGAGCCAGTTTTGGCAACTTTTAAGCCTTTGTGTATATTTTTCAGAATTGGGGTTTTCTTTCTCCCTTTTAAATTTTGAATTCATTTTTAGTCATTTAGGTCTATTTCTTACTACTGAAAGCATTATAGAATAAATAGAAGATTTTGGAAACAGTGTAATGTCCATTACCTCATGCTCTGTATTATATGTTTTATTCAGTGCATAGAACAAGAAATTAAAAGTCTTTCTTTGGTGGTCTATTTTCACAATTTAAAATTATGAAGCACCAGGTACTTCTCCTTCCTAATAACTTACTTCTTACATTTACTTATAAGTACAGTAGCTAACTTGCGTTTACTTCTGGCCTATTTTTATTATTGTCTTCTCTGTATTCTATAACATTCTTGAGGACAGAAGGATTATTTCTGGTTTTGCATTCCTGGAATTTTAGCACAGTGACTGACTCATTGTTTAGGATTCTATTGAATAAATGAATGAACACATATAATATGCTTCACCTAGACGTAACTAAGATTGACCCCTAATATGTATCTTTCCTATCCTTTTCAAGGCATATATATTTGAATAGGATTATAATATATATACTGTTTTACAATCTGCTTTTTCCTCACATCTCAGTATATCATGAACATCTTTATGCAGTAAATAGGTTTCTGCAGCACCATTTTAAATGACTGTGTAGGGATTTTGTTGTGTATATACTTTGTAGTTCGTTTAACCAGCCTCCTTATTGGACATATTGATTGTTTTCAGTAGTGTACTGTTATAGATTATGTAGAGCAGGTAAAGTTGGCTAAATGAATTATAAATTGTTAAAATTAAGGGGCTTCTTATAAAACCTGGGAAAACACAAAGATGAGTACAGATGAATTTACAATGATAAAAATCTTATGGTGTTTTAAGTTACTCGTTTTCAACCAGTTTGGTTTGGAGGGTTTTCCTCCCTCAAATAGTCATTATTTTCAACCAAATCATTTTATGGTAGTGCCTCTAAAATTACTATAATAGATAAAAATAAGTGGTCTTATTCTCAGAATTGAAGAAACTCAATTTTTAAAATGGCCAATAACCTCATAGGTAAAGACAGCACAATGAAAGATCAAATAGAGGAAAAATCAGCATGTGCTGTGGTAGTCTGGGAAGGTTTCACAGAGGATGAAGAACTTCGAAGAACAATAGGGATTGGGTAGGTGAAAAATGTTTAATGACATAAGCAAAAAAAAAAAAAAATAGCTGGGCATGATGGCATGCACCTGTAGTCCCAGCTACTCAGGAGGCTGAGGTGGTAGAATCACCTGAGGAGGTCAGGGCTGCCCATACATTGTGATCATGCCACTGCTCTCCAGCGGGTGAAAGACTGAGACCTTGACTCAAAAAAAAAAAAAAAGCGAAAGCATGGAGATGTGAAATGTCATTGCAAAAATTAAAGAAAAGCTCTTGTGGAAAGGTTGAGGGTTTAGAAACTGTTTGAATAATGAGGATGCCATTTTGTAGTGATATCTTTCTAGGTGTGTGGTGCTATTTTAAATAATTGAATCTAGAATCCAATGCAAGGAAGTGAACTTTGCAAGAAGATATATCAGATGTGTAAAAAGCAATGAACTGTTTACAGGAAATGACTAAGAAAGTAGTATAATCTAAAACGTTTGATTATTTCCAGGCCTATATTTCTGGAAAGGTTATATAGTTCTGTACTGATAATTATGCGTGTCTTTATGGAGAAAATGTTTACAGTGCTAACTGAAGATTCCAGTATATAAGAGAGTGAAAGATTGCCTGTGCTCCATGTTGGTTTATTTTTTAATTCCTTCTACTTTTTCCCTGAAAAAACTCATACTCTTAGAATTCCTACCGTGGGACAAGCACTAAGACTTCATACATATTATCTTATTTAATCTTCACAAAAACTCCAAAAAATAAATGCTATTATTATTTCCCATTATATAGATTTTTAAAAATTGAGGTATGAAGAGGTTTATTTACTTGTCTAAGGTCAAGTACAGCTAGTAAGTTTCAAGATTAGGAGAAAGGATCTTGCAAGGAAAATAGGACACCCTATTAAAGAACTATAAAAAAGAAGGCGACAAGAGTTAGATGAAGGGGTAGGAGACACATTAAAAAAGAAAATTCTAAATCCAGATAAGGACTGATTGACTTTTCTATCACATTGATAGAAGAAAATTCCACTTTGAGAGAGATGTTGCAATAAGTAGCAGAATTTGGCAACTAATTCAATATTCTAAGTTAAAGGGAAAAGAGAAATGGGTGTTCAGGAGTTACTCAATTATGTGATAGAGTTAAAGAATTACCAGTATGATGAGAGATTTGCTCATAGGCAAGGAGGGTGGAAAGAAAATCAACTGCTGTTAAAGTTAAATTGCTTACTTAGAGATAGAACATTCCAGAAACTTATATAGAATATAAATGTTAGCTGAAGACATGCACATTTAGTAAATAAAAGTCAAATTTATACTCTAGTCCTGTGACTTTATATCTCATCAGTTTCTTTACTTGTTTATAGCCTTTTCATCTGTGAAAAGTGAGGTAATACCTACCACTTTGCTGTATTGTCATAGAGATTAATTAGATTAGCAAACGCTTAGCACCTCACATGGAGCCTAGCACATAGTTGCAATCAATACATGGTGACTATGATTTTTTTGTGAGGTAGAATTACATAATGGAAGAAGCTTGAACTTTGGAGTTAGAATCTCTGGCTCTGGTGCTTACTTACCTGCGTGACACATGAGTAAATTAATCTTTTTATTCTCGGTTATCTCACATTGCAGTTGTGTATTACAGACCTGGCAGGATTGTATTGAGAATTAAATAAGATAATTTAATCAACTCGCTTTACTAAATATCTGACATACAGTAGGCTCTCAAATGTTAATCTTCTTAACTGCTACTACTGTCATGTTGTTTAGACTCTTTGATAAATTATTTAAAGTCATTGTCAATGTTTTCCTCACAATGTGTAGACTCAAGTGGACCCTCAGAGTTGTAAACAATTACTTGCCTCCCTTTTCCTACTCCCAGACTAGGGAAACTTCTGATAAAAAGTAGAATTAGAAGAGTCTTAGAAGAGTCACTGATAAGAACTTATTGTGTGCTAAATAGTGTAAATACAAAGTGAATAATGTGATTTCTGTCTCCATTAATTCATAATGTAGTAAGGAAGAGAAATACATGAACAGATCATTACAACGCTCTATGATAAACGTTACAGTCATTGGTTTTTGTACAGAGTAGAATGGCAGCTTAGAGGACATGCACAAGAAGAACTAAATGAAGTAAGTAAAAAAAATTTGAGGAAGGGTAAATGATAACAAAGGTTTTCTGTTCGGACTCTTCTCACCATAGTTTAAAATAGCGAAAGCAGATAACAATATTTATTGATCACTTTCCACATGCCTAGCAGTAGTGTAAGGTTTTTGGCATGTAGGAACTCATTTAACTCTCGCAAAGTGGGTAAGATTATGATCCCTGTTTTATAGATGAAGAAACAACACAAAGAGACACAGCAATCGACTCAAGGTCCTGCAGCGAGTAGGTGGTTGTAGCAGATATTCAAACCCAGGTGATTTGTTCTGAAACTCAAGCTTAGGACCAATACACAGTGTGACCCCCAGTTACCTCGTAACACTAAAGCGTCCTGATGGTTTGGTGAACTGAAACACCATAACCTGAACTGAAACATCCTAACCCACTTAAATAGTCTCTGCCAGCACTGCTAGAGTGAACTGAGAATTTAGTGTGCCTAAGTTGAGTGAGTACCTGTGTGAAAACATTATGCAATTTATGGGACTGTCAAGGGTGACTTGACCTCTGTTGTGCTTATAAATGGATAAAAAATTCAAGGCTTTATAAAGCTAATTAGAGAAGTGCTGAGGGGAGAGGTTGAGAAGAATTTCATTTTTTTCAAATTGCTGTTTTTATAACACTTCCCAGACTTAGGTCAGAAGACCATTAACTCTTTTCCTAGAAGCTCTAAAAAATGGTGAAGGTAGTGTATAGAGGAAAAAGCATTCAAATTGAGGAGTCCCCTTGAGTGCCATGCGGCACTCAATTTAGAAATCAATTACTCACTGTATTGTAGAGATACAAGAATTTAATCACTTCTCCCTGATTATTGCTTGTTTAAGCAACCTACCCACTTACCTATTTTTATAAGTTCTGTTGTAAGGTGCTGTGTAAGCACAGAAGCAATAATAGTGGTGAAAAATGTATATTGGGTTGTTTTAATTTATTATATCAAATGACAGCAGGTTGATTCTTATTAAAAGTAAGACAGTAAAACCCATGCAAACCTTAGCAACTCAGAATTTGCAATTCAGTCATAGTATACATGGATTTTCTTGACTCAGAAGTTAGACATTATCTAAATTACAGGGCTGTGGCATTAAAAAGGAGTACAGAAGTTAAAACAGTTGTATTGTAAACTGGAATTGTGTCATTTGAGTTGAATTGACACCTTTTATGCAGGAAGAACATGTCTCTATAGGAAAATGTTTGGAAAGGAGCATTAGAATTATGTACAGCAGTGTTACCTTACAGACTTACACATTTTCCCTTTTGAAAAAAGGGAGTAACTTTTAGGCACATTTTAGCTTGCAAATGATTGTGAACAAATTTAATATATAAGTATTCCTGTGTAATTTTAAGCCCTTACATAGATTGTAAACTCCTTGAGGGCTGAGTCTCCGTTTTATAGTTCCTTGTTGTTCTCATAAATTGTACAGTGTCCTGTGTCTAGTATTTTTTTTTAGTAATTAACAACAATAAATTTTTTAATTGATTTTGCTAGTTACAGATTAGGGAAAAACATACTTTGACATACTTCTTACTAAAAACATATTTTGTGCTTGTATAGTTTTTTTTGTCAAGTTAAATACAAAAAGTAGATAAATTTCCATGTATGCTATGAATTGTATTTCTTTAAGAACATGAGATTTATTTTTCCCATTGATTTCTGATTCCACAAACAACTAGGCATACTTTAAAAGGAGATGTTTACCTTGTTTTAAAAGTTTGGAAATTGATACTGCCAAGGGCAGCCCATTAGGTGAGTGGAGAGGTAAAGGAATAGAAAAACCTTGCTTCCTAAGCTGCTAAGGGAATTTTCACACTAGGTTGGCTAGAGACCTTAATCTTCAGATATGGTTCCTATGCAAGTTCCTGACTATGCAAGTCACTGCTGAAGGTAAGATTTTTTTCCCTATGTAGTCTCATTTTAAGTTGTGAATGTAAGTTTTTAACTGAGCAGTAGTAATGTGACTTTTTTTTCTGATACTGCAACACATTGAAGATAATAATAGTTTGGTTCTTACAAAAACAAAATAGCTTTGTTAATATGCTAGTTACAGGTAGTTATAGTTTAATGTTTGCTTTTACTGTGGCTTGTTTTGATTCATCATTTTTATTTGACTAACTAGCTGCCATCTGTTAGTTACAATTTAACTTTCAAGGCTCTGTGTAATTTGGTTTTTGTTAATGAAGTACTATAAACAGCATTATGAAGCTTTTCTCTTTTAATCTTGAAAGGAAAAAAATCCATATCTAAAAAAGCAATCACAAAGAAGAGGAAAACGGTCACCAAGTCACCTACTGTACCAGAATTTCAGGTAAATGTTTCAACTTTGTCTCAAAATGTGTTAGTTTAACTTTCTGTTTCAGTGTTTGTATCATTCCTCGAGAGATTGGCTGAATTCCGAGAAACCGTAACACACATACTTTTAAAGAACTGTTTCTGACTAGAACTTTTTCCCCTGTAAGTACTGATGTAGCCAAGATTTAATCTGCTAGTTTTCACAATTTTTTGCTTCTGTTTTTGTCTCTTGCTAGGCAAAAATCTCTTGTGTATTCTAACCTCTACTAAGTTTTGTAGAAGTAGTTTAATAGAAATATATATATATGCTGTGTTTGTTTATAATCTCATATATTTAAAGTATATGTGTAAATGAAACTCTTCCAAGAGCAAATCATAATTTGAATATGGTCATAGTGCCTAGGCAATCCATTTTCATTTATTTGGGCACTGTAGAAATTATAGATTTATTAACTTGAAAAATACATCTTTTAACACTTAGCTGTATATGAACTGAAGAGAGAATTAATAAAGGTTTAAGTAAAGTAAAGGTGAATTGAAATGGTCTTCAAATATTTCAGCAAAAAGAAAAAGTAATTATATGTACTGCTGTATGATTAAATAGAAAGCTTTTGTTTATAGCCAATACTAAGAATAAGCAGAGACTCTCACACTAATTAAATAATGATTTTATTTTCTAATTTATAAAGGATGTGTTTTCTTTAACAAATGACACTTCAAAAAATTTTGGTTATTAAATTGTCCAATCCATTTCTATAAGTTTTATAAGCTCACACCTAGTTGCCAAAAGATAAAAGTTATGTTAAAATGAATTTGTAAGTCTCAAGTCAAGTAGAGGTGAAAATAACGGGTCAATAATTAAGAAAATACCATTAATATATAATGTGAGTTTAACAGTTACATATATCCAAAAGTGTGGACTCATCTTTTTCAGTAATAGTCCTATTTTGGAGTGTATTGTTGTAGAAGTCACTAATAAAAATTTAATATTTTAAAATCAACAGTGAAAGAAAATAGACATTTTTCTTTCTGTAGTATAGAATAGAGTATTTTTTTTTTTGAGTTGGGGTCTCACTCTGTTGCCCAGACTGGAGTGCAGAAGCCACTCCCAGCCACCGCAGCCTCGACCTGCTGGACTCTGGCGATCTTTGCATCTCAGCCTTCCGAGTAGTCGGAATTACAGGTGCACGCTACCACGCCTGGCTAATTTTTTGATTTTGTTGTAGAGATGAAGTCTCGCCTGCCCAGGCAGGTCTCGAACCCACGAGCTAAGGCAAACCACTCACCTCAGCCTCCCAAAGGCTCAGGATTATAGGCTGAGCCACCGAGCCCGGCTAGAATAGAGTATTTTTTTAATGACATTCTTAGGATGAGTTACAAACATTTCTACAAAATTATTTTATATATAAACTTGGTTCCAGCATATGCAATTAAAGAATGTGATTTTACTGTTTACTCAGAAGCCTTTCTAGCATTGCTTGTAACATATTGTTTAATGCTTTAATATTGTATCTTCATGCTCTGCTGATTCCACACTATTCATTGCTACTTCTCCCACTCAGTCCATCAGAGTATTTTACCCTGGGAATAGAGCTGTTAGGACAGACCTGGCCCACTGTTAGTCTTTTCTCCACGCCCACCTCAGTGGATAGATTTTTACATGGAATTAGTGGCCTAGACTACATAGACAGTGCTTTTTAATATTACAGATGGTGTTCATTAAGGAGGCATGAAATCAATGTAGTGGATTGTATGACCAAGCATTTCTTTTTTAAGTTAACAAAATTACAATTGAAAAGGAATTATCAGAGTGTATTACATATAGTAAGTGTACCACATATAGCAATGTGAATATTTATAATGAGATGTATTGTTTCATGGAACTTGGTTTCAGTGTGTGTGTACACAAAGGCATGCATCGTAAAATGTATTTTTGACCATGGCTCATAGACAGAAATGTTTGAAAAGCACTGTCTTAAGTGATGCTTTTAGCTATTGACCATTCAAAACTTAAGGCCAAAAGTACATGTTTTGCTAGATTGTGCTGTTTAAAGTAAAGTCCTCTTCTTAGTCCTTGGGGTGTCTAAAAGAGAGAGAGAGAGAGGTCACTAGTCTCATGAGAACAGTGGTTCTTATTTTCTTCCTTCCTTTCTTTTTTTTTTTCTTTTCTTACTCTGTCACCCAGGCAGGAGTGCAGTGGCTCAGTCACTGCTCACCACAGCCTCAACTACATGGACTCAGGCAGTCATTCTGCCTCGGCATCCTGAGTAGCTGGGACCACAGGCATAAGCCACCACATCTGGCTGATTTTTAAATTTTTTTGGTGAGATGAGGACTCGCTATGCTGTTTGGGCTGGTCTCAAACTTTTGGGCTCAAGCAGTCCTTCCACCTCAACCTCCCAAAGTGCTGGGATTACAAGAATGAGCTGCTGTGCCCAGCCACTGAGAACAGGGGTTCTTATGCCTAGTTGACAATATGAATATCATGGTATTACTTATAAAGAAAATCGGCCACTCTGTTCCAGGGGAATAGATCGTTTACTTCAAATAAGCACATCAATAAAATTGGGGATAATATTAGTCACTAGTAAACTTTATTGTAAATGCAAAATGTAACAGTTTTGTCTCTCAAAATAATTTTACGGAGGTTGCTACTTTATCTTAAAGTTCTCCACCTGTAGGAAGAACTGCATTTATTATGAAATAAAAAGTGAATTTATTTCTGTCCCTAAAGCCTTAGCAATGTGACTTTTAGCAACTCAGATTCTGCAAATTATTTTCTCCCAGTAGTTTTAAATACCACTTTTCTATTATTAAATATAAAAATGCTTTATAGAAATATTTCACTAGAAGATTTTTCATATTACTTATTCTGAAATATCTTATTGCTGAAAATAATAAAACCTTTAAAGGACAGATACTAAGTCACTTGTAAAACTTGATCTATTTGCCAAAGGGCTGGTCTTCTTTAAATTGACAGAAAACCTGCTTACATAGAGAGAAACATATTAAGGGATTAAATTATGAAGGTTTTTTTGGTGGGGGGAGGGCTAAGTAATTTTTTTTAATCCTGCCTTGACCTCAGTCACTTTTCAGTTTGACCGTGTTTTTGTTGTTGACTTTTTAAAGCTAGAAATGGAACTCGCCTCTCTATTTGCTTCAGGAAGAATCTATGTTATAAACCTACCTAATATCTATTCTTCAATTTAGGAAAATAATCGTGTGCCCCCCCCCACTCCCCTGCCATTTAGAGTCTGCATTGTTGGCATTCTAATAGTGGATTTGATTTAATTTTGTGTGTGTGAACAGTCAGCCCTCTGTGTCTGTGGGTTCTGCATCTGTGGATTCAACCAACCTCAAATTGAAAATGTTTCCAAAAAATTACATCTTTACTGAACATTTGCACACTTTTTGCCTTGGTATTATTCCATAAACAATATGGTATAACAACTATTTACATCACATTTATGTTGCATTATATATTGTATGTAATCTAGATATGATTTAAAATACACAGGAGGATTTGTGTAGATTATATGCAAATACTGCACCACTTTATATCAGGGATTTGCGCATCCCCAGATTTTGATATCTGCAGGGAGTACAGGAGCATCCTGGAAACAGTCGCCCGCAGATACGGAGGGACAACTGTGTATTGTAAAGATACTAACCATGTGTGCTACTTTTTCCTAAGAGTTATATCAATGATTCTCAAACTCTAGATAGTATTAAAAAACTGATGCCTTTATTAAAAATGAAGATTCTTGGGTTTCATCCTCCAAATGCTTTAGTTCAGTGGGTCTAGGTGGGCATTAGTAATCTGCATCATGGTTAAACATATGAAATCTGCATCCAGGCTACTTGAGTTTGAATGCCAGCTCTACCACTTACTGACTCTGTAATTGTGGGGGTAAGTTACTTAACCACTCTGTCATTCCAATTTCTCATCTGTACAGTGGGGTAATACTAGTACATACCTTGCAGGGTTGTTGTGAGGATTAAATGATAGAGCTTGCTGGTATAGCTATTTTTATTATTTGTGTTTTCAAATAAATATGCCAGATGCTTCTGATGAAAAATACTGCAGTGTGACTAGAATATAAATTTAAAATTGGCTTAAGAGCATGTCTTATTAACTCTTAGTACTTTTTCCAGCTACTTAAGACCTTGAAATCTCGGATTTGGTCTTATGAAAGTGGCATATGATTAAGCCTGTAAGAATTTGAAAAGTGAAAAAAAAAAAGTAATATTATTTGCATCATTATATTTGACCAGAGTAAAAACCTATGCTTATCCCTACTTAAGTGTTATGATGGATTATACATTTCACATGTAGGGAGAATTGTTGAGTTTGTTTGTTTTTTTTTTTAGTTAGTAATAATTACAAAAAATTAAAAAGTATTCTTGAGTGTTTAGAATATTGGTGATTTAAACTTTTATATCAGATTTAACAATTACTTATGACTTTGTTGTGTAAATTTTTTATCAGTTTTATAAGAAAGAGTGTTAGACTAATGAAGTTACTTTTTCAAAAAGTTTTTTCGTGTGTTTAATATTTAAGAGAGAAATCTAATTTTATATAAATTTTCTTTTGTACATGATTGACAGAAAGTCATAGGAAGTATTTTTAAAACTGTGTGTGTTGAGTCTCAGTACATTTTAAAAATAAACAGCCTTAATTACCATGACTCTGCTTTTCATTGGTAACCAAAAAAACTTTTATGCAATATGTACTTACTCCTGTTCCATATGTGTGATTTATTCTAAAGGCTCCTTTGCAGAGGAAATCCAGAATTTAGCTGCTAGGACTTTAATTACATTGTTTTCAAACATAAACTCACTTATCCTTATATATCTCTAAAAAACTGTATCTCTTCATCTGACCAGTGGACAACTAAGGAATAAGAAATAAAGTACTACTCTTAATATAACAAATTGAGACCAAAATTAAAAATTAGAATTTTTTAAACTGCTTTACTGTGTTAGCACCTTTTGAATTATTTTGAATTGCTACCTCTTAAAATGAATATTTTCTCTTTTATTTCTTTCTGTTTCACTTTTAGCAGCAGGAACTTTTATTTCTCCCTTAAAATGTAATATTTTAAAATACAGTACATTGGAGAAACGTCTGTTTTTAATCATATGGTGGTAAAAGTATTTTGTCAACTTGTTTATCAAACTTATTTAGCTTTATAAGTGATATCCTTATTTGCAAATTATGAAGTAGTTCTTATTGCTGATATGGTGATCATAAGAAATAAGAAGGAATTTTTCTGTCTGCATAGTTTTAGCAGATGCTATTATAATTTTGGTTTAAATACAATATAAATTTTGAATGTACACCATGATTTTAGTGTCTTGCTTATAATTTTATAATAAATTATAGGATCTTTTAATTAGAATAGGAGTGAACGGGATTCCTTTTGTTTGGACCTATTCATTTTTACTTTTCTGAATTGTTTTCCCCTTTGCTTTTTAATATAATCTGCCATATTGTTTGTATTTTTCTATACTACCGTATGTCCTTTTTTGGAACAAGTAAATATCTTTCAGGCCTATTAAGTTTCTCCCAAAGGACGTGATTTCTAGTTTGAAGTAGCTATAAAGGAAGGAGTGATTTATTATCTAATTTTCCTGAGATGTAGTCATGGAGTTTTTGAAATCTCTTTTAAAGGGCCTTCCCTTTCCCCATAACATAAATACATTGATGCTTCTTGAGTTGAAAAGAGGGCCTTTTATATTATCATTTAGCAGAAATGAAAGCTTAGATATAAATTAAATCTTAAAACTGTAGTACATGTTCAATTGTTAGATGTTCTTATTTGTTTTGTTTGGAAAGACCCCATAAAGAATATGGTATAACATAGTAGGAGAAGGAGTTCTGGGTTCTGTTATTTCCTTTGCCAGTGTGTCATCTTAGGTCACTTCACCTCTGTTAGTTTTAAATAGCTTGTATGTATGTGAATTGGAGATAGACTTTCTTAGCCTAGACTAAGGTTTGGACCAATGACAAGGTTCCGGTCCCTTTCAGCTCTAAGATCTGTGATTTTGTGGCTTTGCCACAGGTTGTGACAAGTGAAAGTTTCACTCAAGGGGATTTTAACAGCCTTGAAAGGTTCTTCCTGGGGGATAGAGCTCTTCTTGTAGCCTCTGAATTGTGACTGAAACTATCCTCTCCTGAGCACTGGCTGTGTCCCAACTGTAATCTGAGCTGCTTCAGGAGTTTTTGCTTCCACACCGCCCCCCCACCCCAGTCCCTGTGCCTCAGATATGTTTTTCAAATTCAAGATAATGAGAAGGAGGTTTTAATAAGTTGTTTTGCTTTCTTCAAAAAAAGTATCTGTTCTCCTTAAGGTGAACTTTATTTGTTGGATTTATTCTGTTTTTAAAACTATCTTTCAAAATTGAATTGTGTTGCATTTAAAGCTACATATATATGCCTTGATTTATAAGAGAGAGTAAAACTGTATTTTGGCTTCCATCAAATTAATTATGTTCCTACACAAGAATTTTCCAGTAGTTTACCTTGACTCTCTGTATTGGTTCTATACTTTAGGTATACATTAGATACATTTACAGAGAGAATGTGTTACATATATATAGTATATAAAGAGTGTATAAATTGTTATATGGATATTAAGTCATTTTAACATAACTTCAAAGTAAATATTGCTAGAAATATTTGACCCTTCAATTCAACAAAATTTATATTTGTGTCATGTATTTTAAGAAACAGTTGTCTACATTGAATTCAGTATGCCATGTCCTATTTGAAATTAATCTTTTTGGATTTTCATAGTTATTAACTCCATAGAGCCAGAATGTTTTAGTAGCCAGTTGATCTGTAATTCATAGTCAAAAATGCTTACTCAAAAATGCTCTCTGCAAACAATACCTTGGAACTTGCTAGAAATGGAGAATTCAAAGTCTAACCTCAGGCTTACTGAATCAAAAATTATAAGTTAATAAGATCCCCATATATTTCTTATGCACATTAAAGTTTGAGAAGTACTCATTTAATACAACTTACTAGGTGAGCCACTTAAAAGCATGATTTTATATAACTCTTAGGCTGTACAGATCATTCATGGTTCACCTCAAGACTGTGTAATCTTTCCTTTAAGTGAAACATAAATATTTGTTGATGTCATGGCTAATTGACAATTTAAAAATCTTTAAATTTTTTAGGGCATGTTTAGATGAAAAGGGGGTATATGTCTTCAATGTTCCTGTAAGTTTCTAGAAATTGCATATAAAATGTACCCTTATTTCTTGTATAATGAGACAGTGAAGATGCAAGTAAAGATTTTCTTGGGCTTTGCCATACATGCAAATGAGAAACCTGCGCTGTTATATGAACTAGTACACCAAGTTCAGTGAAAAAGGGGTCTAGCCATCCATCTGCAGGCTCTGGGGCAAATTTGACACAGCCGTCATATTAGCAGCTTATATTACAGGAAATTTACTTCTCACTGAATACTAGTTATAACTTATAGTATCTGATAATTTTTTTGTAGTCTCTTAGGTTGAACCATGTTGCCATTTTTTAGATCAAAAACATCTTGGTGATTTCATATGGTTCAACCTAGTAAAGGAAATTTAAAGTGTCACTCAGTAGCCACTAGGAATTATCTTGTAAATCACTTTTGCTTTTGTTGTTTTTGTTTTTTTTCTAATAAAAGAAGGAATGCCTTTCAGGAAAATAAAGTCCTTACATAGAAATTAATGAATGTTCCCATTCCAGCAGATGAAGCTAAAAAAAAATAGAAAGAAATAAAGAAATTAATGAATGTAACAAACATGGAGCTGATAAAAGCTAATTTATAAGTACAATATGTTTTTTTTAAATATGATTACATAGCATAAACATTGCAATGAGACTTTCATTAATGTGAAACTTTTCCTCTCTATGTGGTTACACTTTTGTTTCAGAAATCTGTTTCTTTTTCATAATATATTTTTTTAAATAGCTTAAAAGTTATGTTAGGAAAAAAGTGTGTTTAACTTGGAGAAGTTCAGTATAACTTTACAATGACTAAAATGTAGTTACTATTTTTGCTGTTGTTGCTGACACTTCGATGTTTAAAACTTTAGTAATTAAACCAAGCTAGTTCAGTTATTAATAACTAAAAATCAAATGAGCCACACAGTTGTGAAAGGAAACGGACGCTACCTGTAGAGATGGTATTAAAGATGACTAAGTTTGTATTAAGAATGTGTATGTAACTTTGTCATTTAATATGTTGCATATAGCTGCAGTTCTTCTTCATTAACACTCTCAACAGCAATAACTAAGATTTGTTAAATTGTGTAGTTAGAAAACCAGAGCAGAGGTGTAATGACAGTTCTCTGGGTGCCTCTGTTCACCCATGAGGAAACTGCCTGATGAAGCGTTTCTCAATGGTGATTCAGTAACCTCTGAAATCGAGGGCAAGTTTCCAGATCTTTGTCATTCTGGGCTGAAAGTTAATAATATAAAGAAAGTAGTACCTGGATTACAAAGCAGACTGAGAGGTAGGGATGTGGGATGGAACCACCAATGTTGCAATTTCAGCTTTTTTTATACTAAGCCTGAAGTTCATACATCATAACAAGTAAATATATTTTAAAATATAAACTGCAGAGATTTCCTTGCTTTTTACTATTACAAAGAATAATGATTGTGAATTCAGTGTGTGTTAAAACAACTTCTGTTACCACATTTTGGGTGTTTTATATTATGTGTTATCAAGCTGTGTTTTTGTGTTTTATTTTAGCTTATTTGCACTAATCTTGATGAACTCAGGGAATTAATCACAAAAATCGAGAATGAACTCAAAGATCTGGAAAACAGTAGAAAAAAATCGGTAGGTGTTGATCCAAAAGTTCTATCTATTATTGTCAGCATTAAAATTTATTCCTGCTTTTTGCTAAAGCCTCTTTAAAATCTTGTTCTCCTGGATTACATGAAAATTTGCAATGAAAGATAGAAACATTGTTTCTTTTATTTCTCCTGTGTGGTCTAGTTTTCATTTAGCAGACAAAACTGGTGCCAGGGGCAATTAAATTAATTTTGTGTACCTGGTTTATATCAGGCATAGTTTTAGATATTTCCCAACATAGCGGCTGGTTATTTTCTGACGAGTAGTTTTTTGGGTAATGTTTACCTTGCAGATATTCTTAATTAATAATTTTATGCTTTTAGTGGAAGTTTATTGCTTAGTAACATAAAATTTTAATTTAGTGTAGCATAAAAATAGATGTAAATTGTTTAATCCTGCCCCAGATAATTTTGATATATGCTTAACTTTTTTTTTTGGGGGGGGTGGTTTAGAGTCTCCCTTTGTCTCCAGGCTGTAGTGCAGTGGCACACTCACAGCCACCCCAGCGTCAACCTGCTGGACTCAGATGATTCTTTTGCCTCAGCCTTCCAAGTAGCTGGAACTACAGGCGCGCACTACCACGTCTGGCTAATTTTTTATTTATTGTGGAGATGAGGTCTCACCAAGTTGTCCAGGCTGTTCCCGAACCTCTGGGCTCAGGCAGTACTCTCGCCTCAACCTCCCAAAGTGCTTGGATTACAGGCTAGAGCCACTGCACCTGGCAACAATATGAATTTTTAAAGGACATTTATCAGTTGAAAGTTTTTTTAACTTTCTCTGTATTCGAATTCATAATTCGTTTTTACCTTTTTTTTTTTATCGTTCTTTTGTTTTTGGTTTTTTTTTTGAGTTGGAGTCTCACTCTGTCGCCCAGACTGGAGTGCAGTGGCTGCTCCCGGCCACCGCAGCCTCGACCTGCTGGACTCCGGCGATTCTTCCGCCTCAGCCTTCCAAGTAGCCGGAATTACAGGCATGCGCTACCACGCCCGGCTGATTTTTTGATTTATCGTAGAGATGAGGCCTGGCTGCCCAGGCGGGTCTCGAACCCGCGGGCTCAGGCAATCCACTCACCTCAGCCTCCCAAAGGCGCGGGATTACAGGCTGAGCCACCGAGCCCGGCTTTTTTTATTGTTCTTTAGAGATGAGAATATAAGAACATTATATCTATTCATCCAATATAAGATCGAACATTTTTGCTATTTGTTAAAATCAATAGCAGCTATGTAACTGCCATTTATAGTTGGATTATACATAGATTTGAAATACAGTTACATACCAATAAATAGATGGGGGAGGGGCTTTAAACACTGCAGAAAATCAATCATTTTTTTTAAAAAAGAACCTTTGTTTTGTGCCTTAAGAATGTTATGAATCCACTTTTAGGTCTTTGCTCAGAACCTGCTAATATAAATATGCATAAAATACAGTTAGTGTTTCACCAAGTTTTATATCAGCAGGTTTGCAGTAGTCATTCTGTATAGTTAGGAAAGGTGTGTTGGGAGCACTCTGAAGGGAGGCGATTGCAGTCCCATAAAAAGTATAAGTTAACAAGGTTATTGATCACTAGAGTTAAATAGCCTTGAGCACTTCAGAACTCTCTTGTGTGATAAATACCCCTGAGAGTGTGCTATAATCCAAGAGATACAATAATGCTTATAATGATAGTTATCAATTAGCAAGAAAACATTGTGTTCAATATATGATCTGAGAATGTGGCAAACTGTAAATTTTAGAAATATTTCCGTTAAAAATAGTTTTTGAACTCTTGTTAGACCCTTATGTTTTCATATATATATATATATATATATATATATATATATATATATATATACACACACATATATATGTATATATATATGGGCAATCTCTTGATGTGAAAGACCAAATGTTTCAATAAAATTTACCGCTGTGATACAGTCCTCAAACATTTATAGTAGAATATTTTCTCCGCAAAGTTTAAAAAAATTATCTGATGTTTTATGCTTAAAAAGACTGATTCTGCTTTTTAATGCAAAGTAGTATCTTTTTTAAAGTAAGAGTGCTATTTATAGTTTTTAACAGAAGATGTTTGTTTTTATTGAAGTGTCCATATTTTATTCTAAACAGAATTCTGTTAAATAAATTTGCAGATTTTCTATGCAGCAGCTAAGCATAACTTACTTTAATTTGTTCTCATGCATTATTTTGTTTTTGTGCACAGTTTTAATCATAATTTATTTAAGGACTTGTGGCATGTATTTTAGAAGAAAAAACCTTTTGCGAGCATTCTAGAGTTTTTCTGTAAAGTCATCCGCCCCGTTTTATTTGGTGGTGTGAGATATAAACATATTACCTTCCTTCCTTCATATGAAAAAGTAAAAAAAAATAAACCATGAACACTTGACATTGTATTTTTTAAGAGCGTGTTTGTCAGAAAAGTTTAGATTATGTATAGGGTTTGGTTAGATTTGTGTCTCTGAACTTTTGACTTGCCCAAGTCTCCTGACATTTGCATATTAGTTTAAAAATATGTTTTCCACCCTTCAAGGAATAGAAATTCTGGGAACTGTACTTAGTAGAGATCTAATCCTATTGAGAATACCAGCGTATGAGCTATTTCCCCTTAATTTAAACTGTCTAAAAGATTGTTTACATGAACAAATTATCTCAACCAAAGAAATGGCCATACAACATAAAGCAAATAGACAGTGCAAGTTTACATTTCAGTATTATTCCTTATTTTTTATAAACGCTAATATTGAATGTGATTGACATTAAAGGAATTAACATCTTTATTGGATGTTTATGTTAATATTTGATACAAGTATTTGGCATCATTTGGTAATAAAGTGTCCCACTTAATTGAAGTTTCTTTTTTTTCTTTTTTTTGAGTCAGAGTCTCACTCTGTGACCCAGGCTGGAGTGCAATGACCACCACAGCCTCAACCTGCTGGGCTCAGGTGATCCTTCCGCCTCAGCCTTCCAAGTAGCTGGAACCACAGGCATATGCTACCATACCTGGCTAATCTTTTGATTTATCATAGAGACAAGTTCTCACCCTACTGCCCAGGCTGGTCTGGAACCCCTGGGCTCACGCAGTCTTCTTGCCTCTGCCTCCCAAGGTGCTGGGATGACAGGTGTGAGCCATCACGCCCAGCTTAATTAAATTTTCTAGATAACTAAGACTGAAACCTTCAGTACTAAAACCCTTGTTTTAATCATGTAATGGAAAGCCTCCTTACACTATATGAACACAGTTTAACCTGTTTTGATGACTCAAGGGATGACCCATTATGAATATCAGTCATTGTATTGTTGCTCTAAAGATGTCTTGTTATTAGTAGCTCTAATTAAACATTCACCAAAACGCTTTTTATGCATATATTTTGAAGGATTTTGTTTGTACTTTTGCTTTTGTTCTGTCTCTTTATTGCCAGGCTGTCTGTCACCTGTCATTTCTTGTGTGTGTCCATATGCTTGTGGATTAAAAAGCAAGTAACTGTACTTATTAGGATCGAGTTCACAGTGAGGACTGGAGGGACATTCTTAATAACAACGTTAGAAACTTGGTGATAGTGGTGACTGTTTTGACTGATTCCTTATGTTATCGGCTCCCTTCACTATTGTCAGACAAACGAAGAATTAAAATTGGTCTTCATGAAAGAGTATCACTTTTGAAACTAAAACAGTATTTAGAGTCAAAATAATTCTGTACTCATTATCAATGTTCGTATCTACAACAATGGCTCCAATAACCAAGAAGATATATTCCATATAGCATTTGGTTGTCATCAATGTCATTACTAAAGATAGAAATTACACGTGGGAGAGAATTTAACATGGATTCTTGTAAACACCTCGTTGCTTCAGGTGGCTTCCTTGCAGGTCCTTTCCAGATACCTTTTTCCCACCAAAGAAACAAGGAAGAATGATCTCGTTTTCACCTAAGTCAATATTCCATTTTTAAAGTTTTCTTTTTAAATTAATAGGCCTTATTTTTTTAGAGAAGTTTTATGTTTACATTTTTAAAAAGGTTTTTATAGCCTTTTAGAGGTTTTGCCATTGAGCTACTTATTGTATTAGAAGACTTACAGCCTTTTAAAGTTTAGATTGTATATTCATTCTTGAAAGACAGTTAATTTCACTTATGGTTAATAATGTGAAGAAAGAAAAGTGCTTTAATTTTCTCAAGCTTACTCACTCACTCACTCAGTACACTTGATTCCATCACTTCATTTAGAGGCTTGGTCAAAAATGTCTCAACCACCTTGAGGGCCTGTGGTGCTAAACTTAATTATCTGCCTGAGATTTGTTTAAAGTGAGACCACTGGTTGAGATAAATATATAGTTTGACAGATTCCTTTAATTTTGCCTATCTCATCATTATTTTAGATTCTATGGTTTCTTAGTGACCTAAAGGAGAAATCACAACATTTCTTTATTTTTAAGATTTTGGTTAAGAAATGAAATTTGCATCTTACTTAATTATTTTAAAAATATATTTTTCTAGTCTAGGAAATGTAATTGTTTTCCAGAAAGATATAGCCGAAATATTGATAAATTCACCTGATCTTATTGTATTTTAAATTTGTTAGATATTACTGCTTTCTAAATAATAAAAATGTAAAGATTTTGTCAAGCTTTTATTTCTAAATTTTTCATATAGGTACCCTTTTTCCCCATATCTGCTTAATTTCCTTATGCTTTATGTCATAACTTAGATTGTCAAAGAAGTTTCAAGCTTCTTCAGTAAAGACCTGTGTAGAGATTAAGAATAAGGAAAAGTGAAATTTTTGCAGCAAAAAAGATGTTATTTATAACAAAAGCAACCTTGTCTGGATTGTGTAATGATAAATGAAAGTCTTATCAATATGGATAAATTAAAAATTTAAATATAAGACCATATCTTTTCTAATATATGTGTATATATTAACAGATATGCATCTCAACATTGGCGAAACTTAATTCAGACTCCGATTATTTCTAAATTTTGTAATTATCATGTA